CCCTAAACCCTAAACTCCGTACCCCTAAGGGTGCAAGGACCCAAATAATAGGGTTTTAGGGCCCAAATACCATAATATTATAGTATTTAGGCCCTAAAACCCGCTTATCTGGGTGCTTAGACCCTTAAACCCTAAACTCTATATCCCCCTATAAACCCCTTTAAAGGGACCCTATTATTTGGGTCCTTAGACCCTTAGGGTACCCTAGGACTTGGAGAGGCTTATTCAAGACACGGATTGGCGGACAGGTTTCATGGCGAATCAAAGGGAACATGAAACCGAAAACTGGGATTGCAACAGGATTTCTGGCCCTAAACCCTACCTAAACCCTAAAAGTATGTAGAATAATAGCCTTTATGGTTGTTATTCTGGGTTTAGGGCTATTATTTTACATACCTTTTGGGGTTTAGATAAACCCTAAACCCTAAATATGCAGGATTCCAAAGACCATAGACCCTAAACTAGGGCTATGGGTTGCGTGGTGCCTGAGGTCTCGGTCAAAGCCTGTCTAGTGAGGGGGGGAAGCTCCAAGGTTTGGGGGTTCAGGGTTTAGGGTTTAGGGTTTTAGGGTTTAGTTACTGAGGGGTTCAGTTCAGGGCGTAGGGTTTACTTATTTTGGGGTTCAGGGATTTAGGGTCTAGATATTAAGGGGTACACGGTTTAGGGTTTTGCTACTAAGGGTATTGGGCCCTAAAACCCTACTATTTGGGTCCTTGGACCCAAATAGGAACGCAACATGCAGGATGTCGTCCGTTCATTCGAGGATACGCACCACGCCAGGACCCATTGAGGGTAAGCAATGTAAGAACCCTTTGAAAAGCCTCTTCCGGCATAGTCAATGCCCTAAAGCCTACCTGGACCCCAAAAATGTGTAAAATAATGGCCTTTATGGCTGTTATTATGGGTTTAGGGCTATTATTTTACATACTCTTGGGGCTTAGGTAAGCCCCTTAACCGCGTGGTGAAGTTGAAGAGGGATAGAAATCTGATCAGAAAAGCCTGAATTTAACCCTACACCCTAAACCCTAAACCCTCCTCGGTGTCTACCTACGTCGGGCTTGGCTTCCTCGGGAGCACAGGCTTCTACAGTACTGATCCCCTTGATATATAACACACCCCCTGAGAAGCTAAGAACTACCTAAACCCCAAAAGTATGTAAAAGAATAGCCCTAAACCCATAATAGCAGCCATACGGGCCATTATTTTACATACTTTTGGGGTCCAGGTACTCTCAATATACTAGATTTTACTATCCACCCCCTACCTACACCACCCCGAAGCCTGAACAGTGGCCATCCACCCCCCCAGAACATTCAGCTAAAAGCGAAAAACAAATGTGGTGGTTGTCAAAAATTGTGGTCCCTTTTGGGGTAAATATTAGCTGCCGTATTATAATAGGGGCCCAAAAAGGCACCATAATTTTGACAACCATCCAGGACGTTGACTGGTAACCGCAAACCTTCGCAGAGCCCACGCAGCTTAAGCTTTACCTGGGAATAAACTCGTATCATGGCTTCGGGTTGCGTCTAGGGCTCGGTTGACTTACAGCAACCCATGTACCCACGGAGGCAGGTTGTGCGCCTATTATTGTGTCAGCTTTGCCCTTTGCAAGGGGCTTGGGTAGAATCCTGAGCCTTTCACTTGCAGGTTCATTGTAAGGCACAGAGGAATACATCGCTGTAGGAACCTGTCTAGAAATCCAATATTCGAGCAGTCCCGTTGTCCGTTCTGTTCGCTAAGCCCTCAACTATAGATCCTAAACCTAGACCCTCAGCCATATAGTAGCTAGAATGCTGAGCTACTCCACATAATGAGGTACTTTAAACCCAAAGTTGTAGGAAATCAGGGATAAGTGGACTATAATCAAGACCCTAAACCCTAAACCCCTAAACCCTAAACCCTAAACCCTAACTCAACCCCAAGACGGCCTCTTCCTCTTCCTCCTCGTCGTCCTCTTCAGCCTCTTCAGCCTCTTCATCCCCCTCTTCGGGCTCCTCCTTGTCGTCCACCTACACTCCCGGAAACTAACATGGAAACCTAGGATTTAGGGTTTAGGGTTTAGGGCGCAATAAAGACTACAGTCCTTCTAAAAGGGTGCTACATGGGTCTCCATGTTAATTTGGGGGAGTGTATCCACATAATTGTTTAAAGGTTCAGGGTTTAGGGTCTAGTCTGGCGTTTGGGATTCAGGGTGTGGGGTTTACAGTTTATGGTCCCCCAAGGTCTCTAAGGACTATTTGGGGCTTTCTGAGGGCAGCTCTGGGTTTTGGGAGCCAAAGTTTGGGATCCCATTATGAGAGTCCAAGAGCCTTGGAATTAAACCCTTCACCCTGTAGATCAACCTAAACCCAAAACCCTGAACCCTAAACCCTCACCCAGGTCCATATACACCAGCCTTGGGGTCGAGGCTTCAAACCCTTAAGTCTGGGGCTTGGGGGTTTAAGGTTTGGGCCCCTGTTTAGGGTTTTAGGGTTCAGAGTTCAGGGTTTCGGGTCTAGGGTTTTAGGGTCTAGTGGTTTAGGCTTACTTGGGTTGTTGGGTTTAGGTTTAGGCTGCTTAAGAGTGTCCTGAGGGTAGACCCTCGAGGTGGTGTTTAGAACACCAAAACAATAGTTGGGTACCTGGACCCACCGAACCCTACACCCTGGAACCTGAGACCTACACCCCAAACCCAAAACTCCAGAGTTTGGGGTTTAGGTTTGAGGGTTTAGGGCTTAGGGAACAACAATCCTTAGATGAAAAGCCGCGTTGCCCAGCATTCTGGGCTGCTCGAACCAAATATGGTATGAAATTCCTGGATAATAGAATACAATTGTGAGCTAATGACTGTCTAGGTGGGAATATGAGCTATGGTCTAAGCTCCGAATATCATCCCCCTAATTCCCCTTATAATACTCCCCTATATAATCTCCTATTTAATGCCCTTTAAGGAATTTAGATCCCCAAGCCCCAAACTCTATACAAGCCCCTGAATATTATCACCCCCTTAAGGAGAATAGGCTACAACTCACATTGGGGTTGCCCGAACCTCCTGGAGCGGTTCTTCAGCGGGCTGTTCGGCTGGCTCTTCAGCAGGCTCTTCCTGCTCCTTAAAAGAGGGGGTATATTATGATCATAAGGGATTATAAAGGGGGTTTAGGCTTCAGGGTTTAGAGTTCAGGGTTTAGGCTCGTGTTTTTTTTTCCCCCCCCCTTTCTTTTTTTTTGTTTCCGGTTTAGGGTGTAGGGTTCAGACTGCGGGCAGGTAGTTTAGGGTGTGAGGTTCAGGGTTTAGAATTCAGGGTTGGAGCGTCGAGCTTAGAATTTGGAGTTGAGGGTGGGAGCGAAGTCATCGATGCGAGTGATGGTTATCTAGGGTTAAAGTTTCAGGGTTTAGAGTGTCATTAGGATGTAGGGTTTGGGGTGTATTTGGGGTTTCAAGGTACCTGGACACCAAAATTGGTAAAATAATAGCCCAAAGCCCCTGAGAATAGCACAAAAAGCCATGATTTTACATACTTTTGGGGTTTTCAAGGTAGGCACATCATGAAACATGCACCTGTTTCCAGATGTACAGACTGGGACTCGGCAAGTTCCGACCAAGGCGTATAGGGGGTTTGGGGTTTAAGGTTTAGGGTTTAGGGTTTACGGGTCCAAGGACCCAAATAATAAGGTTTTAGGGCCCAAAAACCCAATTATTTGGGTCCTTGGACCCTTAGGGTTGCATTGCGCATCCTTGATCAACCATCACTAAAGTGTAGACCGTCTTTTTCTCCATGACTTCTCCTCTTCCGGACACCGTGACGGCGCGGGACTCTTCAGGCACCTGCACCAAATGTGCCGTCAGAGATTCAATTGTTCTTGGATCCTGAGAATGCACTTCGCCCACACTGTGGCGCTGCCGCTGCTGCGGACATGGCATGCCTGCGAGGCTGACGCCGGTGAGGCTGACGCCGGTGGCGCTGCCGCAACCGGAGACGCTGCTGCGGACATGGCATGCTTGCGAGGCTGCAATCTGGACGAATTTCTCGACTGCTCGGGCCTGCTTGCCCTTGCTGCTGCGTGCTTTAGAACATAATCTGAGAACCCGCGAATGCAGCAGCCTGGAAACATGGTTAGCAATATCATGAGGTCTGCTAGAGGTACCCCTATTCTGGTCTTAAAGCTCAAAATAAATCCAAAGCCTTTTATGGTATGGTCGTTGGGGCCAAAAGCCTCAAAACATAGTCCTGAAAACCTCAGGGTAGGGGTCTAGGTTTGAGGGTTTAGGGGTTTAGGGGTATACTATAGCTCATAATCACAGAAGCAATCTCGGACCACACCACGGGTAATTTTGTCTAGAAACCCTGCAAAACCCGAATTTTCGTTTCATGTGTCATGTTCGTTTTTCCATGTGATCCTCCATTATTATTATTGGAGTTAATCTTAATATCTGTTTATGAAGAGATTGGTAGCTTTGCTGGGTCATGTTTAACTTGTACCCCTAAAGCTGAAACCCTAAACCCTGGGAAGGGATGCGGGGTAGGGATGTCAATTTTGAAAGGTCACGATTAACAATTTCAGGTATAGGGCTCAGGATAACAGGCTTAGGAACTTTTGGGGATCCAGCTTTACAGAGTTTAGGGGGTTGCGGCGATGACCATGGCAAGGGGGGAAGGTATTGGGTCCTCCCTTAATGGTCACCCGTGGCAACAGTGTACAACCTAGTTTACACCATCCAAAAACCATCTCACTCGCAAAAACCGAAACAAACAAACTGTCCCGTCAGTTCCTTGTCGTGCACTGTTGACAGAGGCGTGTACTAGCCCTCAGGGTTCGTAGGCAGTGCAGGTGGTTCTGACCATTTTGAGATCAGGCCTTAGGGATTAAGGGACGAACCAGATACGAGCTATAGTCCAAACTCCTAGTGTTTAGGTTACCTAAACCCCAAAAGTATGTACAATAATAGCCCTAAACCCAGAATAACAGCCATAAAGGCCCTTATTTTACATACTTTGGGGGTCCAAATCGTGTTTAGGTTATGGCTGACATCAGCAAAAGCTATTCAAGCTGAAATTTTTGAGGATGCTCTGAGCAGGAGTGGCTTCGCATGATGAGGGTTGGAATTTGGGATGTATGGTTGCGGGCCCCCCACCCTGTAATAGTGGTATAATAAGAATATAAGAGGACCCTAGTATAATTCCTATTATCCCTTATACTCACTATTACTGGGTGGGGGGTCCACCTAATGTATGGTTCAGGATTTAGGCTTTACAGTTTGTTGTTTTGGGCTCCGGGTTCGACATTAGCGTTTAGGCTTGGGGTTCGGGCAGGCGCTATTTGCATCAGCACACTTTTTGGTGTTAGGCCCCAATGTAATTACATGAGCACCTTGCTGGGCCAGGATTCAGGGTTTAGGGTTTAGGGTTTAGGGGTTTAGGGTTTAAGGGTCTAGGGGTTAGGGGCTTAGGGTTCAGCGTTCAGGGTTTAGGGTTCAGTGTTCAGGGTTTAGGGTTTAAGGTTTAGGGTTCTATTATCTGCTGTATGTTAAACTGTACTGTATAACCCATGCACCCTATCCATACGAACCCTTATACCTATATCGCATGCTGAAGGCCATCCTGATTGTTATTACACTCGACCTGAGTACCACTAAAAACTAAACCCTAAACCCAAACCCTGAACTACTTTAACTTAATTAAGATATGGTAAGAACCCTAAACTACTTTAATCTAACTCATAAATTTGGTAATAACCTGCAACTACTTCAATTAACTCATAATTTTGGTAATAACCCTGAACTACTTTAATCAATAATTTTGGTCATTGTGTCTACGGAGGTAGTGGGCCCTGGTGGGCGATCGGCAACTTTGTCCGTGGCAGGCCTCCAAGTCGAAACACGCTTCGAGGACAGCATTTGCCTGCTGTTCTAGGGAGCTTGGGGTTTAAGATTTCCTGGGCCCCAACAGTAGGTAAAAGAATGGCCCAAAATTCCGTAAAGCAGCCCAAAAGTCGATTATTCTACATACTTTTGGGGTTCAGGTTGGGCTTGGTTTAGGGTTTAGGATTTGGGGTTTATAGGGTTTGGAATTTAGGATTTGGGGTCTACCGTTTGCTCACACGAGGCTTTCTCGAAAAGTGGGTTCAGAGTTTACCTGGACCCTGGATGTCCTACCTTTTTGAATCTGTCCTATAACATATCCTTGACACATGTATTACAAAAACCTGATAAACCCTAAACCCTAAACTCTAAACCCTAAACCCAAAAGGCCTACAGGGTCCAGTAGGGTTCAAAGTGTAAGGATTTCTGGAGATGCTTCCCCCTACAGATTACCAATATCATGTTCAGGCCTATTTCAGGTATCCTACTTATGGTCAATATAAGAAGCCTAGGGCTATAGTCCCCCTTAAGTAGATAGACTATGCTTCGGGTATATTATGACAAAATCCCCATATACCCCATGTTCTATCTACTTAAGGGGTCGATATGGCTAAAATAACGGCAATAAATCAGGCCTCTATAGTACCCTTAAACATCCCCAGGAATCAATGCGGACGAACAAGGATTTCTGGAGGTCCTGATTGGGGACCAAGCCCTAAACCCTAAACGTTTAATTGGCTTTTGGGGTTTAGGGTTTAGGGTTTAAGGTTGTAGCGTGCTAGGAGTTCCGGCGCGAAATCTTCTCGGACTTTTTGATCTCATGATTGTATTTGGGGACCGGGTTGTAGGGTTCAGTGTTTGAGACTCAGGGTATACCGTGGCTGATGCAATTTTTAGGATTAGCCTACAGGGCTTATGACAAAGGTTTAAGGCATGAAATCCTAAACCCTAAAGGGTTCTTCTGGGGTGGGGCTATGAGGCTGAAACACTCTACCAATCCAAGGAATGCAATTCTTGGGAGTCTGGTAGAAACCCGTTACCTGTGTGCAGTTCCCATAGCACTCCCAGAAGCATTTCCAGCAGTCCCCTGTGCCTTAGAGGAGTGGTATAAAAGACAAGGGTTTAGGGTTTCGAAGGTAAACTACCCTCCCTAAACCCTAAACCCTAAACCTTAACCACCTGTCATGGACTTCTAGAATGATGGTTGCACAGCAAATGCCTGATGATACCTGATCAAGGTGCAAGGCTTGCAGGGCGATTTTCAAGGATAAAGGATGAGCCTGAATCTTACACCCCAAACCCTACAACCCTAACACCCTTAAGCCTTTGCATCCTGAACCCCAAACCCTACAACACTAACACCCTTAAAGCCTAAACCTTCAACGCTAACGACTAAAACACAAGTCCTTGACCCTGATTTACCCCAGCTGCCGAGTTTTCTGTCTCCAAAAAACGGCGCCTTTTTTATTATGGTAGAACTGTCTGCACCTCACAAAGTTGCAGCTTATCTTAAATACTATCCATTCAGCTACTTAGTTACTCTGGATATAATCCAACATGACATGCCGTATCAGCCATTCTTTGCTGCCACCGATTCGATCCAGCCCCCCCCTTCCCATACCTACACACATGTGAAATCTCTTTCTCTCGAGATGCTACCGCCCAAATGCCTATATCTATATATACTACACATATGTAGATATATATATATATGCTAACCCCTCCCCCTAGGACCAACCTTGCAATGTTCCAAAATTCCAAAATTCCAAAATTCTGAAATTCCAAAATTCTGAAATTCCAAAATTCCAAAATTCCACAGTCAATTTTTTGTGGAAATTCCAAAAATTCCAAAATTCCAAAAAGGAACTGACAATTGGAATTTCCAAAAAATTGACTGGATTGTTTGGGAACTGGATTTTTTTTTGGAATTTTGGAATTTTGGAATGTCAGAATTTTGGAATTTAGAATTTTGGAATTTCGGAATTTTGGTCAAATTTTGGGAAATTCCAAAGCTCCAAAATTCCAAAATTCTGAAATTCCAAAATTCTAAATTCCAAAATTCTGACATTCCAAAATTCCAAAATTCCAAAAAAATCCAGTTCCCAAACAATCCAGTCAATTTTTTGGAAATTCCAATTGTCAGTTCCTTTTTGGAATTTTGGAATTTTTGGAATTTCCACAAAAAATTGACTGGATTTTTTTTGGAATTTTGGAATTTTGGAATGTCAGAATTTTGGAATTTAGAATTTTGGAATTTCGGAATTTTGGTCAAATTTTGGGAAATTCCAAAGTTCCAAAATTCCAAAATTCCAAAATTCTGAAATTCCAAAATTGCCAAATTCCAAAATTCCGAAATTCCAAAATTCCCAAACAATCCAGTCAATTTTT